CGTTATTAATTGGTTATTCATTTGATTAATCCTTATCTCTAATAGTGTGTATAAAATAAACTTCATTTTTCAAAATAGCTCTTAAATATATATATATATATTTTTTTATTTTTAGAGAAAATCGTTGTATAGCAGACGAAAAGGCTAAGCTGCCGTCGTTTGCTTAATTGCTGGTTGCCAACTCGATCATCTTCTACCCACCGCCACTAATCTTATCATCCTCTGCTCTCTCAGACTCCGATCTCTAGCCTCTACCTCAGATCTATGCTTAATTCTCCCTAACATAATCGCATAGCTGCCCTTCTGGGCTGGTGATCTGAACCAATACTCTTTCATTTTTAGGTTTTCTCTTTTCTCTGAGGACAGGAAGGGTTTCGATGGCGGCGAAGACGGCCAGATCAAAAGCTACACCGACGAAGGAAAACGGTGTTAGAGTCGAGGAAGGCTTGAGTCTGTTCAAGTCTGATAAGTTCGATGCTGATGCTTATGTGCAATCCAAATGTTCTATCAACGAGAAGGTTTTTTCTTTTGTTCTTTAATCATTTCATGTTTTTCCCCCGTTAATTTTCTGTATTCACTAGTGAGAATTTCTGTAGATTTCGGATTATGTCGCATGATTCTTGTTTTGGAGGTGATTTTAGGAAATCGTAATAGTACAATAAATAATTTGTAGTAGATTGTGTTAGCTCGAGAAGATGATGATCAGCGTAATCTACTCTTGCTTGTATCTATTTGCTTATGATCTGTTGGGAATTTGAAGGCAGTCTGCGAATTATGATTATCTAAAAATGCTGATAGATTTTAGCTTGTCAAATGATGATCAGTGTAGTACAGAATCTGTTGTGCTCGTTTACTGTTTTTCAGAAAAGAGAGTATTTCATCACAGTATTGGACAGAAAGGATTTCTCGTATGTTAAGGTCTCTTTCTGTGATGGTTTTACAGTTCTGAGGGAATGGTGTCTAGTTCACTACAAATGAGTCGTATTCCATAAGGTTGAACATAGATTTTTAGATTACTAAGCTGGAGTTTTTTTTCTTCCCGACTTATGTTGGGATGGTGACATAGCTCTGTTCTGTTTGCAGGATATAAAGCAGTTATGCTCTTATCTATTGGATTTGAAGAGAGCTTCTGCTGAAGAAATGCGGCGAAGTGTTTATGCTAATTATCCAGCCTTTATACGGTTAGTTATTATCCTGGCTATTTTAAGTGGTTGGTTGATTACTACCTAATGAATTTTGTTTTAAGTTAATATGATTAAAGAGCTCTACTTTTTCAAATGTAATTTCGTTTCTTAAGGGTTTTGGTGAATAAATGTGAATTTTGTATGTAACTTATTTTCCTGACAATACCTGATTGGCTTTTCTTAGTGGTGAGTTAATTTGAGCATTGAAAAATCTTATGTTCTGTGCAGCACATCGAAAGAGATATCGGACTTGGAGGGGGAGCTATCATCTATCAGAAATCTTCTCTCCACTCAAGCCACTCTAATTCATGGCTTAGCAAATGGAGTTAACGTTGACGACGATAAAGTATCTGATGGGTCTCTCGCAAATGGTTCATTGAATTTTGACGAGAACGGCCTCTCTGATCTGGAGAAATGGGCTACAGAATATCCTGACCAGCTTGATGCTTTATTAGCTGAAAGAAGGGTAGATGAAGCTCTGGCAGCTTTTGATGAGGGAGAAATTCTAATATCTCAGGCTAACGAAAAGCACACTTTAAGCTCTTCTGTACTTTCATCTCTTCAGTATTCTATCGCTGAACGCAAGCAAAAATTGGCTGACCAACTTGCCAAAGCTGCTTGTCAACCTTCAACTCGAGGCGGGGAACTTCGGTCAGCAATAGCAGCTCTCAAAAGGCTTGGCGATGGTCCTCGAGCCCATACCGTTCTTCTTGATGCCCATTACCAGAGATATCAGTACAACATGCAAACTCTTCGTCCATCTAGCACCTCATATGGAGGGGCTTACACTGCTGCACTCTCTCAGCTTGTGTTCTCAGCTATCTCTCAAGCTTCGAGTGACTCGCTGGGAATTTTTGGGAAAGAGCCAGCATATAGTTCTGAGCTTGTGACTTGGGCTACTAAGCAAACAGAGGCGTTTTCCCTTCTTGTTAAAAGGCATGCATTAGCTTCTTCTGCAGCAGCAGGAGGACTAAGAGCCGCTGCAGAGTGTGCACAGATAGCTCTTGGGCATTGTTCTTTGTTGGAAGCTCGTGGTTTGTCCCTCTGCCCAGTGCTTCTAAAGCACTTTAAGCCTATTGTGGAACAGGCATTGGAGGCAAATCTCAAACGAATTGAAGAAAACACTGCAGCTATGGCTGCTGCAGATGATTGGGTGCTGACTTATCCTCCTGCTGGTAGTCGTCATGCTAGTACAGCATTTCAGAATAAGCTTTCATCCAGTGCCCACCGCTTTAATCTGATGGTCCAGGTAGGCAATCTTGGTCAAACGCTTTTCTCAGAAAATTTCAGCCTTTGTTTTCAACTTGTGTTAGACAAAATAAAGTTCTTAGAAATTACAGACATACTAGAAGTTGGATTATCTTTCACTCATAGACGTCATGTTTGTCACTCCTCGATATGCCAGTATCCCAAGAAAATTGCTTATAATATGAGTTTACAAAGCAGCTGCGAAATTGAATAGCCTTGTGGATGACGATTGATTAGAACTCGCTCTAGAGTATGGCAAGGCCTGAAACTGTTGCTTAACTGCATATGCATCCCCATTGGAAAATTATTTATGAACTCTATGCAGTACTAATTCCGTCTTAGCTACTCATAGGCAATGCACTGCCTAGTCGATTTTAATGGATTTTGGAGAGCCTTTTGATACTGGTATTTTGGTGCAGGACTTCTTTGAGGACGTAGGACCTCTTCTAAGTATGCAGTTGGGAAGTAAAGCGCTGGAAGGTCTGTTTCGAGTGTTCAACTCATATGTAGATGTGCTGATAAGAGCACTTCCTGGTTCGATAGAAGAAGAAGAGGCAAATTTTGAAGGTTTTGGTAATAAGATTGTCCAAATGGCTGAGACCGAGGCAAATCAACTTGCATTACTTGCAAATGCATCATTGCTAGCGGATGAGTTACTCCCACGTGCTGCCATGAAACTCGCCCCTCTTGATCAGACTAGTCACAGGACAGACGACCTAAGGAGACCTGCTGACAGACAGAATCGTAATCCAGAACAACGAGAATGGAAGAGGCGTTTACTTAGTACTGTTGACAAGTTAAAAGATGCGTTTTGTCGCCAGCATGCCTTGGATCTCATTTTTACCGAGGAAGGAGATAGTCATTTGTCTGCAGATATGTATATAAGCATGGATGGAAATGGCGATGATGTGGATTGGTTTCCATCTCTTATATTCCAGGTGATTGTGGTTTTATATCCATCAGTCCAGTTAGCCTATATAAAACGCGCCTAGGTTGTTGTAGTCACTTGCGAACTCTTATTGGCTGCTTCAGTGTTGTCTAGGTTAATCTATGATTTATCATGGTCTATCTGACCGCTTCAAGAACATGCTCTTTTTTTTTCCATTTTTGTTTTTAGCATATTCTTATACTTAGGGTGTTGCATCGCTGGAAAACAGGAACTTTTTGCCAAACTTAACAGGATGGCAAGTCTAGCAGCAGATATGTTTATAGGAAGAGAAAGATTTGCCACTTCTTTGCTGATGCGATTAACAGAGACTGTGATCTTATGGCTTTCTGGAGACCAGAGCTTTTGGGATGACATTGAGGAAGGTCCTAAACCTTTGGGACCTCTTGGCCTACGGCAGGTTTGTAAACTCGTTCTCGCTTCTGTATAAGTAGATTTTGCGAGCATCGAAACTGTTATGTACCTTTTTTAACAAACCTGCATTCTGTTACAGCTGTATTTAGACATGAAGTTTGTCATATGCTTTGCATCCCAAGGTCGCTACCTATCAAGGAATTTGCACAGGGGCACTAATGAGATAATATCTAAAGCCTTAGCAGCTTTCGCTGCAACAGGACTGGATCCGTATAGGTATGTCGGTTTTGGGGGATTTCTTGCTACGTTCTACCTTTTTCTTGTAGTATAAATGAATAAACATGGTTTCGAATGTGCAGTGAGCTGCCAGAAGACGACTGGTTCAATGAAATATGTATCGATGGGATGGAAAGACTCAGCGGTAAGGCAAAAGGCAACAATGGGGAAGTCCACAGCCCGACTGCTTCGGTTTCAGCTCAATCTGTTTCATCAGCGAGATCTCATGGCAGCTATTGAACCAACCGCGTCTTGCATTTGTAAAGAAGGTGAGTGGTAATAACTTTTGATCGTCTCTACTCAGCTCTGAATTTCTTTTGTAGAGTCTCCAATTACTGATGGGATGATGATTCTGGGGTTTGTAAATGTGGTTGAGTTGAATATGTTCTCTTATATCTCTATTGATGCATTCTTTTTGGGTTAAGAAGTGAAGAGAATGTTGATCGATCTTTACTCTCTATGTTACACTCTTTCTCTTTTGGTAATGGATTTGATGTAGCAAAGTTGTAAGCTCTGTAGATTCAACAAATCAAGTGACTGTACTCAGCTCTGTTGTGAAAATATCTCATTTTCTTGCGGTCGTAAATACCGAGTTATCGCAGTGTTCGAGTGATGTGGTTAGTAAGAAAAGTTGCAAATAATATTGAAAATAAAATAAGATCGATAATTAGACGGAATAAAAGGAAAATATTTGAAGTTGCGCAAACTTGACGAAAAAACTTCAAAGTTAACAAATTTGATATTTTGTAACAAGTAACGATGGTCAAATTTGATATTTCGTAATAAAGTATTAAGTTGAGTAACCTCAGGGCTGACTTGGCCAAATTATCGGACGAACTTATCTTGGCCACTTTTTCTTCAAATCTCCACCTGTAGCCACGATCAACCTGATGCATCTGAAAGTCAAAGACCTACTATTTTTTTTTTTTTGTCTAAATGTTAAGATTTATTCCAATTTTCTGAATTTTACACTGTATATGCTGAAAAGCTTATTACAACAAGCAAATAGAAAAGCTAAAAGGGGGAGCAATAAAACTGAAATAAACTTGGAGAAGGGAAGATGAGTTAACGTTCGAGGCAGGGAAGGAGAAGAGCCTGTCTCGAATTAGGCGGTCGAGGGCGGAGCAGAAATCAGCCGGAGAGGAGAATACCGACTTGAAGATCCGTGAGTTGCGCTCTTTCCAGATTGAATACACAAGCGCCTGCAGTATAACTTTAACAAGAGTGGCGTGAGAGCGGTTGCTGCCGTGAAGGTGGTTGGAGATCCACGAAGCAGCAGAAGAGATATCCAACGGAGGGTTAATCCTGATAGGTTCGACGAAGCGCTTCCAAACTGTAGCCGAGAACTGACAGTCAAAAAAGAGATGACCATGTGATTCATTACCCCTAGAGCAGAGGACACACTCAGCACTAACATTCAATCCCCATTGCCTGAGTCTATCTTTGGTCGGTAACCTTGCAAGGAACGCCAACCAAGTGGTGAACGACCATCGAGGAACATTTTCTTTAAACCAAAGAACACGATGCCAAGGGACCGCCGGATAATGGTCCCGAATTTGCTCCCATGTCGCCTTAGATGAAAACCGAGGCGCGAATAGACCTGCAGAATTGCGCCAGAGAAAGCAATCACTCCCCCGCGAGAGAATAGGAGGAGAGATTGCAGAGATGGCAATCTGAAGTAACTCTGTTTCTTCCGATCTAGCTGCCGGCAAATTCCACTCGCCATTTCTGGTGGCGTGGATAACTCGTGCTTCCAAACGAATCCGTAACTCCCGAGGACCTCTCTCCCCGATGAAATGTATGAGAGGCCCCAGATCCATCCAAGTATCAAACCAAAAAGAGGCAGTCTCACCATCGCCAACCTCACATCGCAGGAACTCTGCAAGCCTGGGCTTCAACTGTAGCATGCTCCGAACAGTACGAGAGAAACGACTCGAATCTTCTGCAAGCCAGAAGTTTTTCCTGCCGAAGACATGCATATTAAGCCACGCGACCCATAAAGAGCCCGCATTGGAGAACATATTCCAAATTTGCTTCAGCCTGAAAACCAACTCAAAATCCTCCAACCGACGAATACCCAATCCTCCTTCTGACTTGGGCTTACACACATCCGCCCAAGCAACCCGAGCACCGCGGGAAGAAGATGCTTTGTTTTTCCACAAAAACGCCGCACATAACGAGTCAATCTTAGCGTAAAAGGTCTTAGGCAGGACAAACACAGTGCTCCAGAAGTTTACCATGCCATAGATGACCGAGGAGATTAGTCGTATCTTACCCGCGAAGGAAAGAAACTTTGAAGTCCAAGAGTGCAACTTACTTGTGATCCTCTCTATGAATGGTTGGAGAGTGGCCATACTAATCCTGCGGGGATTTAGAGGAAGACCCAAGTATCTGGTTGGAAATTTTCCCTGCTGAAAACCCGAAATACCCGCTAACACAGCTCTCTGAATATCATCATAGCCTCCAAAGAATATCTCTGATTTGCTGGCATTCATATCAAGCCCACTGATCCTCTTGAATTCACCCATGACATCCTTGAGGCCAGAAAGAGAGTGCCTAGAACCATCACAGAAGACGAGCAGGTCATCAGCGAACAACAAGTGCGTTAGCCTTGGATTCGCGCATTGTGGGTGTAACCGCATCCCATCCTGATCCACCTTTTTGTCCAAAAGCTTTGTTAGACACTCCATCACCATAATGAATAGATAAAGCGAAATTGAGTCCCCTTGGCGAAGGCCCTTCCGACCCGGAAAAAAACCGGCAAGTTCCCCGTTCACCGCAATAGAAAACCGCGGAGAAGAGATGCACTCCTTAACCCAGGTAATAAATATCGGAGGAAAGCCCTGAGCCTGCAGAAGTTTAAGCACAAAATCCCAACAAATAGTATCAAATGCTTTCCTGATGTCAATCTTAACCATACAGCTCTTAGGAGATGATGTTTTTTCATAATTCCTAATAAGTTCAGAAGCGAGCAACACATTTTCTCCGAGACTCCTCCCCTTAAGAAAAGCCGCTTGGTTCTTACTAATACATTCCTGCAGCACCGGTTTAAGCCTGTTGGCAATGATTTTGGAGATCAGCTTGTAGACCACATTACAGCAGCTTATTGGACGGAAATCCCCAAGACTACAAGCTTCCGGATGTTTCGGGATGAGGGCAATAGCGGTGGTGTTGAGATCCTTCAGAAGTCTCCCATTCCTGAAGAACTCCTTCACCGCAGCACATATATCAAGGCCCACTGTTTCCCATGAAGCACGGAGGAACTCCACTGAGTATCCATCTGGACCAGGGCTCTTATTCAGAGGCATCGAGTAGACGGTTGCTCGGATTTCCTCATCGGTAACCTCCTTTTGCAACGCCGCATTGTGATCTTGGGAGCATCTAAATGGTAGTAGGTTTTCCAGGTCCTCCACCGAACAAGGAGAGGTTTGGAGGTCAGTATTCCCAAGAATCTGCTGAAAGTATTCGACCGCATGCTCCTTTATATCCTCTATGGAGCTGAAGATTCTGCCCGAAGTATCCTTTAGAAGGTGAATATGATTCCTTGTAGCCCTCTGGTTAGCCGTTCTGTGAAAGAAAGCAGTACCTCTGTCTCCCTCGTTTAACCACTGAACTCTAGACTTCTGGCGGAAAAATTTTTCTTCTGCTGTTAGCAGAGTTTGCCATCGTGCTCGCTGGGCATGCTCCTCTCTTGCAATCGCCACTGTGGGGTTAGTTAGGACTGCTCGTTGGAGCTCTTTGACAATTTCTGCCTGTTCCCTCACTCGCAAGGAGATACCACTATAATGACGCTTATTTATCCCACGCAAGACCTTTTTAAGAAGCTTCATGGATCTGACAATCTTAAACTGCAGAGTTCCTTGAATGCTGCCACAATTCCAAGCCTCGCTGACCGAGGGGTGATACTCTGGGTGATCAATAATATGATGGAAGAACTTAAAAGACTTGCGAACATGCCTCCTCAATGTCGGAACATGAAACAAACATGGCGAGTGATCAGATTGCTGAGGCTCTAGGAACTCAGCATATGCTTCCGGGTACTGAATAGCCCAATGGTGATTAATTAAGGCATGGTCAATTTTCTTTGATGTCGGATTCTCGTCTTGACTATTCCACCAAGTAAAAGATAACCCTTTTGTTTGGGCTTCAAAGAGCTCTGCATCTTGCAAAGCTAGGTTCATGTCATCGATCCCAGATGTGTCAACTTCCACGTCCAAATGATTAGAATGCTGCGAGATTCTTAAGATTTGGTTAAAATCTCCAAGGACAGCCCAAGGATGCGATGAGACAAGGGTAGAAGTAGCAATCTGATGAAGCTCCTCCCATAAAGAAACCCTCTCGTCCACATGGTTGAAACAGTAAATAAAGGTGACCGTAAGACTAACCTCCAAGTCCCCAATAAAAATACCGCAGGTGACAGCTTGAGCCGACGCCTGATAAACCATCACAGAAACACGTGGATCCCATACTACTACAATCCTTGCCGTGCTGTGATGATCAAAATTACCAAAAAACCTCCACCCCCGAGGAATAGCTTGAGATATTCTACTACTATATGCTTGTTGTATATGAGTTTCAGCAAAAGCTCCAAAAAGCAGCTTGTGAATATTAATCCAGCCTTTAGTCATACTGTGGCGTCTTGCACTGTTCAGACCTCTTACGTTCCACACAAAAAACATGATGATTATATACTAGTGATTTGATGTAGCCTTGCGGCCACTCTTTCGGCGCGAGACCAAAAGAAACGGAGCTTCTACCTCCTCCAAAACATGAGACTGATCCTTATAAATGGTAGTCGACACCACCTCTGAACAACTTAATAGCTCACTCGTCTTTTGTAGTGCCTGCTCATGACCATTTGGTGTCGAATGAGACACCTCCAAGATGCCCTTGGCTGGCAATGTATCACCATCTGATCCTTGATCGGAGGGCAGATCAGGCGTACTCATCTTACTTGTGAGAACATCCGAGGATGTGTACATCTTCTCCACACCGCCCTCTTTATCACTCTTTCCATCTGTCGAAGCGGAATGATCAGATAATAGGCGCTTCTTTAGGCGTCTATTGCGAGAGCGTCCAGGTCTAGATCGCCTCACTCGTGGCCGTTCCCGCTGTACACTACTACGAGCAGAACTGAGAGATCGTCTGTTACTCTCGCGATCAGTAGTGGGAAGGGAAAACCTTGAGCGGCACTTATTTCTATCATGCCCAAGCTTTCCACACGAAGCACACTTTGAAGGAAGCCAAGGGTAGGACACAGCTATCTCCACCTCCTTGCCATTGGAGAACCCAGAAAGGATCTTCTTTGGTAGCTCCTTCCGTAAATCAACACGCACGTAGACCTTAGCCACATGAAAATTATCCTTCCTCTCAGTTTCCGGTGCAAGTGAGACTGGTTTTCCAACCGCAGTAGCAATCCTGGCTAAACTTTGTCTGTTGAAGAGTAAATACGGGACATCTCAGAACTCAACGGGCACCACGGCGGATGTCAGCGGCGGCTGTTCTGGATCAAAATCAGATGACCATGGGGCAACGAACATGGGGTAACCAGCAATATGCCACATACTTCTGCTTAGCACTACTTCCTTCACTCGAGGGTTGATCACCTTCAAGAGATAAGAACCCTGCCCAATATTATGAACGAAAATACGAGGACCTGAACGAGCCCAAATAGCGTTAACAACGCCGATTATCCTTCCCATTTCCGGAGCGTCACCGTGGAATCTGGCAAAGATAAAATCCTTAAACTCCTCCTTCGCAGACTCCACATTCTCATCCGGAATCAAAACAAATGGCACCCCAGATACATGCTCGCTCGGGGTTCCTATTTCGTCTAATAAGGATGACTCTTTAAACAGCTCTGACGAATTACGAGGTGGAGCCGCCACCGTAGCAACAGGCGTCTCACCCGGTAGACAGCCTGCAGAAATTTCCGTTGTAATCGAACCAGGACCGGAGATGAGAACCTCAACAGTCGGTGGAGCATCGAGAACCTGAGACTCGCTTGGTTGAGAAACCACAGATGACGGATCTGCGCTCAACACAAGAACAGAGGGTGGGATCTGGGGCTCCGACTCCGAAACTTCAGAAGGAGGCGGAGTCAGAGCAGAGGGAGCGGTGGGAAGAGAGCTTCCAGCCGCCGCGAGAGATTTGTTCTGAGCTGCAACAGCCGCCGCAATTGCAACGCGGGAGAGACGCATAGATCCAGAGATGGGGGGCTGGAGACGGTGCCGATGCTTTCCCATGGGAAGGAAGAGAATAGGGAGAAACCGAAGAAGCCACGATGAAGAAGAGGGGAGGTGAGAAGTTCTCGCCGACGGAGTGAGTCCGACCGACGGCGGCGGCTAGGAAGGAAACCCTAAATCGCCTTACAAGAGAGAGAAAATAAAGGAGATTCTTATATGACAAATATTTACTCTAAAAAATACTGAAATCGAAGTCAAAGACCTACTATGTTAGGAGAGAAGAAGAGAGAAGAAGAGAGAGAAAAAATGATTCTGTTATTGATGGTTGAAACTTGAAAGTGATGATTACATTGGTTTCCTTAGAGCATCTCCAATGTATTCCTCCATTTTTATCTTCAAAATGGGGAAATTGCAAAATGGAGTTGGATTTCTCTTCAATGTATTTCTCTATTTTCAACTCCAAAAAAGTATTCTGGGTATATTCTTTCTTTTTATTTTATTGTTAATTACTAATAATGCACTCTATTTATAAAAACTACAAATGAATCAATTTATTTTTTTTCTCTTAAAACTTTCATAAATTATAATATTATTCTAAATTCAACTACTATAATATAAAAATAACATTACACACCATTTAAAATAAGAAAACAAAGTACATTTTAATTTAAATATCACCATTTTAATTTAAATATCACCAAGTGGCATAAAAAAATCTATAA